GAGGTTGCAGTGAGCCAAGATCATGGCACTGCACTCCAGCCTAGATGACAAAAGGAGACGGTCTCAAAAAAAAAACAAAAAAAAAAATTGCTTAAGGGCAGGGTCCCATGGTATAACTCCGTGATCCCTACAGCCTAACATTACAGCAAACTTTCAAAATGGATAGAAGGGAAGGAAAGGACAGTCCAGGCAGAGCAAAGCCCTCAGCCTATTCTCTAGAGAGATTTTGCACAGAGTATGGTGAAAAAGCCACTAGGCATTCAGCATTGTGCTTAGTGTGATCCACAGACTGGTTTTTACAATATAGTGCAATATAATAAAGCCTATTCTAACCAAACCGTTAATTACTTTTAATAAAAGCAAGCTCTCTATTTTTTTTATTTTTATTTTTAATCCTTTTTTAATTTTTTTTTTTTATAGACGGGGTTTCACCATGTTGGTCAGGCTGGTCTTGAACTCCCGACCTCAGGTGATCTGCCCACCTTGGCCTCCAAAGTGCTTGGATTACAGGCCTGAGTCACCACGCCTGGCCTCTTTTTAAATATTTTATCAAAAGATGTATCAATATTTTCAATAATTCTGGAGAGATTTTTGTGGGATATAAGCAAAAATTGGTGAACAGAACTTTTATTCTCACAAACTCTAAAACTGTATGGCCCTATTCTCAAAGGTGTGCAACTAGAAATCTTTTTTTTTTTTTTTTTGAGAGGGAGTCTCACCGTCACCAGGCTATAGTGCAATGGCATGACCCTGGCTCACTTGCAACCTCTACCTCCTGGGTTAAACCATTCTCCTGCCTCAGCTTCCCGAGTAGCTGGGATTACAGGCACCTGCAACCACACCTGGCTAATTTTTGTAATTAGTGTGGGGGGGGGTGGTTCATCATGTTGGTCAGGCTGGTCTCTAACTCCTGACCTCAGGTGATCCACCCACCTCAGCCTCCCAAAGTGCTGGGACTACAGGCATGAGCCACCAGGACCAGCAAAAATATGGCCTTTTAATACTCAATTTCTACTTAATGTTTTTAGTAAAATTTCCAACCCTATAAAGAAAGTAGCAACAGAATCCCAATCACTAATGAGAATATATCCCCATGACAACAGAGGTTTCTCCTGGATAAACAAGATGTTTGGTATGTGAAACATTATCACAAAGAGAAGTATTTAATAGTTCTTTTTTTTTTTTTTTTTGAGACAGTCTCACTTTGTCTCTAGGCTGCAGTGCAGTGGCACAGTATCATCTCACTGCAACCTCCGCCTCCTGGGTTCCACCGATTCTCCTACCTCAGCCTCCTCAGTAGCTGGGATTACAGGCATGGGCCACCACACCCAGCTAATTTTTTTTTTTTTTTTTGAGACAGAGTCTCGCTCTGTTGCCCAGGCTGAAATGCAATGGCGGGATCTCAGCTCACCTGCAACCTCTAGCTCCCGGGTTCAAGCGATTCTTCTGCCTCAGCTTCCCAAGTAGCTGCGATTACAGGCACCTGCCATCACACCCAGTTAATCTTTGTATTTTTAGTAGAGACGGGGTTTCACCATGTTGGCCAGTCTGGTCTCAAACTCCCGACCTCAGGCACTCCAGCTGCCTTGGCCTCCCAAAGTGCTGGGATTACAGGCGTGAACCACCATGCCCAGCCTATTTTTTGCATTTTTTACTACAGACAGGGTTTCACAATGTTGGCTAGGCTGAACTCGAACTCCACACTTCAAGTGATCTGCCCACCTCAGCCTTCCAAAGTGCTGAGACTACAAGCGTGAGCCACCACGCCCAACCTACTTAATAGTATTTTTTGGAATTGGTTCTTGCTCTTGATTCAAGATTTCCTAAAGTCCACCTTTCAAAGGAACTTGTGACACATACCAGCATATTCAGAGCCAATACCAACACCCAAAATGCCTCCAAACTAAGTTATAATAATTAAATACGTTTTTCACAGAGAGAAATGACAGGCTCAATAATAAGGGTTTAGTTATATACTATATAAAACTTAATCATTCAAATGAAGAATAATGAAATAGTTTTTAAAAAACGACATTTAAGAACATAAACATTTAACTAATATGCTGTCTAGTTCAATTATGAGTCTAACTGAAACTTTAAGGAGCAAATGATCAATAATGACTTCTTAAAACCAGCTTTTGCTGGGTACAGTCACTCACGCCTGTAATCCCAGCACTTTGGGAGCCTGAGGCAGGTCAATCACCTGAGGTCAGGAGTTTGAGACCAGCATGGCTAACATAATGAAACCCCGTCTCTACTAAAAATACAAAAATTAGCCAGGTATGGTGGTGGGCACCTGCAATCCCAGCTACTTGTGAGGCTGAGGGAGGAGAATCACTTGAACCTGGGAGGTGGAGGTTGCAGTGACCTGAGATCATGCCACGCACTCCAGCCTGTGCAAGAGAGTGATACTCTGTCTCAGAAAAGGAAAAAAAGAAAAAAAAAACTTTATAGAGATATAATTTATATATCATAAAGTTCACCAGTTTAAACTATACAATTCAACGTTGACTTTTGCATCTCTTTTTCTTTGACAATTTTTCATAGGATACAATTCACAGAACTGATGGCACTATTGACACAGAAGAGTGAAATACAATGGTACAGCTGTTTAACCTTCTACTTTGTTTTTTTTTTTTAAATATACATGGAATCTCAAAAACAAACAAAAAAAAAACAACCTTTTTTTTGAGACAGGGTCTTGACTCTGTTGCCCAGGCTGGAGTGCAGTGACATGAACACAGCTCACTGCAGCCTCAACTCTTGGACTCAAGTGATCCTCCTGCCCTGGCCTCCCAAAGTGCTGGGATTACTGGCATGAGCCACCACACTCAGCCTTCAATTTTTTTTTTTTTTTTTTTTTTAAATAAAAAGATTGTTGCGGCCAGGCATGGTGGCTCACGCCTGTAATCCCAGCACTTTGGGAGGCCAAAGCACGTGGATCACAAGGTCAGGAGATAGTGACCATCCTGGCCAACATGGTGAAACCCCATCTCTACTAAAAATACAAAAATTAGCTGGGCATGGTGGTGCCTGCTTGTAATCCCAGCTACTCAGGAGGCTGAGGCAGGAGAATTGCTTGAATCCAGGAGGCGGAGGTTGCAGTGAGCCAAGATCATGCCTGGCGAAAGAGTGAGACTTTGTCTCAAAAAAAAAAAAAAAAAAAAGAAAGAAAGGATTGTTGCACTTCTTCTCCAAGAAAACACCAAATGGTGGATGACACCAGTGTTACGGGTGGGGGCAGCGCTGAGATGGGGAATGCGGTGGCTTCCGGGGATGCTTCGGCAGTGGCATCCAGAGCTAGGGTTGTGGCCGTAGACAGGGCCAGGGCCGAGGCCACAGAGCTCGCGGGGGCAAGGCCGAGGATAAGGAATGGATGCCTGTCACCAAGCTGGGCCGGATCAAGGACATGAAGATCAAGTCCCTGGAGATCTACCTCTTCTCCCTGCCCATCAAGGAATCTGAGATCACTGACTTTTTCCTGGGGGCCTTTCTCAAGGATGAGGTTTTGAAGATTATGCTGGTGCAGAAGCAGACCCATGCCAGCCAGCGTGCCAGGTTCAAGGCGTTTGTTGCCAATGGGGACTACAATGGCCATGTCGGTTTGGGTGTTAAATGCTCCAAGGAGGCAGCCACTGCCATCGCGGGCCATCACCCTGGCCAAGCTCTCCATGGTTCCCGCGCACAGAGGCTACTGGGGGGAACAAGGTCATCAAGCCCCACATCATCCCTTGCAAGGTGACAGGTCGCTGCAGCTCTGTGCTAGTGCGCCTCTGTGCTGGTGCACCTCATCCCCGCACCCAGGGGTACTGGCATCATCTCAGCACCTGTGCTCAGGAAGCTGCTCATGATGGCTGCTATTGACTGCTACACCTCAGCCAGGGGCTACGCTGCCATCTTGGGCAACTTCACCAAGGCCACCTTTGATGCCATCTCTAAGATCTACAGCTATGTGATCCCCAACCTCTGGAAGGAGACTGTATTCACCAAGTCTCCCCATCAGGAAATCACTGACCATCTTGTCAAGACTCACACCAAAGTCTCTGTGCAGAAGACCCAGGCTCCAGCTGTGGCTACAACATAGGGTTTTTATACAAGAAAAATAAAGTGAATTAATCCTGAAAAAAAAAAAAAAAAGATTGTTGCAAGCCCTGTCAAGTTCAGAGAAGCATATAAGCAATGGAATGTTCAAAGTTGTATGTGAATTACCTGAAATGTGGGCTGCAATATCTAGCTAGATTTTTGTGGAACAAACATTTCCACCAGTGGACTCCTCTACACAGAATATTGGCAAACGGAGCACAAGCTAATAAGATTAGAATGTGTACTTCAGCAATAACTTGTGCCTGAAAGGGTGATGATTCTGTTGTATCACAAAATTACAGATTTAAAGACAGCAGAGCCTACCTCTATTTTAATCAATAATTTTCCTATAGATCCATATCAAGTAATTTGGTAGTACAGGTATAAAAGAAAACAGCCTAAGTCATTTTTCATCTAAGCAATTCTATAGAAAAACTCTGAAGTAATTACTGATAATTTTAGTAATAATGTATAAGTTTGCTATATATTAAATCCATTGTTCAACTCAAAAAACCACTGAGAAGTTCTAAGATCATCTCGGCAAACTCAGGTATTATTTAAAATCTGAAAAGAAAAACAATGAATCTTGCAGCCTCAATAGGTATATTTCACATTAGGACTCAGCAAAAAGCACTGTTCACACCTTTATTAAGATTTCAACTTAATAAGCATAAACATTTGCTAAATTAGTTCAGTTATTCAGGATTTCTCAACTGTACAGAGTAAAATATATAGTCCATATTTAAATATACTACAATAAATACAATGGAGGGGAAAACATTCAATGGATCATTGAGAATTGCAAAATTCAAAGTGTTAACATAGAAATGCTCATCTATTCTGAACAAAGCATGAAGACAGGGTAAAGAGGAAAGGAAAATAAGATACACAGCCGAGAGAAAACAATATGTACTCACTGGTCGAGTTGCCTTGCATCTGAATGATGCATTTGGATTCCTTGCTGGTCTCTCGAGAATTGAAGGGCCTTACCCGGACAGCCACCTTCACTGAGGCTCCCGACATTTTAATGGCCTTGTTATATGTATGCAGTCCAGAAATAAAGAATCAAATCTTCTTTTGAAGTTATATCCAAGTTTCCTTTAAAAAGAAAAAAATTCCATACAAGGTAGTCAGAGTCAAAGCAAGCATGTGCTAATTTAAGTATAAGAACTCTATCTTAGTTCTATTTTGTTTCCATTTATTCACCCCTTTTCTCCTGTGCAAATCTTTTTTAGAGACGGTGTCCTGTTATGTTGCCCAGGCTGGTCTTGAACTCCTGGGTTCAAGTGATCCCCCTGCCTCAGTCTCCCAAGTAGCTCAGACTACAGGCACACACCACTGAGCCTAGCCCCCCCTACAAATCTTATGTTGCAAACAGTAAATTATTAAATAGAAAATTAAAGACTAAAAGTTGTTTTCCTTTTCTATTATCTCTTTCTTATATCTAAAAAGTCCCTACTTATTAATAAAAAACATAATTACAAAGTAACATGTCTCCCTCTCTCTCTCTCTCTCTCTCTCTCTCTCTCTCTCTCTCTGTGTGTGTGTGTGTGTGTGTGTGTGTGTGTGTGTGTGTGTGTGTTTCTGGATAGATCTTCAATAATATATGAAAAACACAAAATGCTTATTTGTTAAAGAAGTTCCTTAAACAAATAACTTTCCATCTGTAAATCACTTACTACTTTTCTTTAAAGAAGTACATTGGGCCAGGCACAGTGGCTCACGCCTATAATCCCAGCACTTTGGAAAGCTGAGCTGGGCGGATCACTTGAGGTCAGGAGTTCGAGACCAGCCTGGCCAAGATGGTAAAACCCCATCTCTACTAAAAATACAAACAAAAATTAGCCAGGCATGGTGGTGCAAGCCTGTGATCCCAGTTACTCTGGAGGCTGAGGCAGGAGAATTGCTTGAACCTGAAAAGCGGAGGCTGCAATGAGCAGAGATACCACTACTGCACTCCACCTGGTCAACAGAGCAAGATGCCATCTAAAAAAAAAGTGCACTGAACTCTCTACACATTATTTATAGTTTCAAACATTTGGTTACATGATGTATATATTGTGTCACTAAATAGCAAAAGACAAAGAAACTTTCTAGTCAATTCCTTTAACTATGTAGTGATTTCCTTTAACTTCAAAGATCCCTCGGATATGCCACTGACTCATGGCAGAGTCAAATCCATTACACTTCATTACTGAATGAAGTAATAGGAAAAATGTGAACATTTTTTAGAGGAATAATTTCCCTTCCCATAGAACAAAGTCAACACTATTGTGTGACAAGAATCCAAATAAGTAACTTTTTCTTTTTTTTGAGACGGAGTCTCACTCTGTCACCGAGGCTAAAGTGCAGTAGCGCCAGATGATTCTTCTACCTCAGCCTCCCGAGTAGCTGAGACTATAGGCATGTGCCACCATGCCCGTAATCTCAGCTACTCGGGAGGCTGAAGTGGAGAATTGTTTGAACCCAGGAGGCGGCATTTGTAGTGAGCCGAGGTCATGCCACTGCATTCCAGCCTTGGCGATAGAATTAGACTCTGTATCCAAAAAAAAAAAAAAAAGAAAAAAAGAAACAATCAATTTTTCTTGTCAGGAGAAACTCCACACTCTATCCAATAAAAAACTTTTTCGGCCGGGCGCGGTGGCTCAAGCCTGTAATCCCAGCACTGTGGGAGGCCGAGGTGGGTGGATCACGAGGTCAAGAGATCGAGACCATCCTGGTCAACCTGGCGAAACCCCGTCTCTACTAAAACTACAAAAAATTAGCTGGGCATGGTGGCGCGTGCCTGTAATCCCAGCGACTCAGGAGGCTGGGGCAGGAGAATTGCCTGAACCCAGGAGGCGGAGGTTGCGGTGAGCCGAGATCGCGCCATTGCACTCCAGCCTGGGTAACAAGAACGAAACTCCGTCTCAAAAAAAAAAAAAAAACTTTTTCAAGAATAACCAAACAAAAGATATAAAAAAGAAAACTATTTACAAATCAAATTATCAGGAACCCACAATAGAACTTAAATCTGACCAATATTTTTTCCAGATAATTAAGAATGCTAACCTCCAACTACACAACACTGTAACCAATGAGTTCCCAAGAAAAGAAAAAATAAAATAAAAACCAAAGTCACTCTCTACCTCAATGCCCTACTGTCCAGGCTGGAGTACAGTGGCGCAATCGTGGCTCACTGCAACCTTGAACTCCTAGGATCAAGCAATCCTCCCACCTCAGCCTCCCAAATAGCTGTGACTACAAGCACACACCAACACACCCAACTAATACTTCATTTTATTTATAGAGAAAAGTCTTGTTATGTTGACTGGTCTGTTCTCAAATGCTTGCCTTAGCCTCCCAAAGTGCTGGGATTAATTACAGGTGTGAGCCACCACTTCTGGCCCCTTATTTTCTTAATAGCATCACTGCTATTTGAAATTCTTGTTTTTTGGAGCATGTCCATTGCCCAACTCTCACACTGTCTGTCTCTCACTCTATCACCAGAAAGCTCAGAGACCTCATGTCTTGTTTGCTAGCATTTAGAACAAATAATACCTGACGTAAGAACTCAGTAAATGTTGAAGAAATGAATTAATGAAATATATTTCCCAGTTGTGAGAATGATCTGTTTAAGTCTTTTGCCTAGTTTACTGATTTTTTTTTGTTTCAAATGTTTACATTTTTAATAATAATGTTTTTCTATTTGCTACAATTTTTTTTCTAGTCTGTTTCCCATTTTACATTAAACTGATCGTTCGCCAGGCGCAGGGGCTCACGCCTGTAATCCCGGCACTTTGGGAGGCCGAGGCGGGTGGATCATTAGCTGGGCGTGGAGGTGCAGGCCCGTAGTCCCAGCTATTAGGGAGGTTGAGGCAGAATTGCTTGAACCCGGGAGGCGGAGGTTGCAGTGAGGGGAAATCACACCACTGCACTCCAACCTGGCCCCTGGCAACAGAGTGAGACTCTGTCTCAAAAAAATAAATAAATAAATAAATAAATAAAATGAACTGATCGTTTTTTAAATATAAAATATTTTTGTGATCACATGTATCAAATGAAACCTTAGCATTATTAACCTTCCCAAGCAATGTAGCATGACTTACATCCATAAGTTGAATAATATGCCAAGAGAATGAATGAAGCATTCAGGAAGAGCAAGACATAAAACACACTGCAACCTCCCAGAATTCCCTTTGAAATACAGCCATCATCTCCACTGTCCTCATGTCCGAAAACCCATTATCTTCTCCCCTAAACTAGGAATCTCTGCCAATCTTCCCTTGACTATCAATAGCATTCTCCCAGGCCCCAATACCATAAATCCTGGAGTCATCTTTGTCACTACTCTTTGAAACCTTGTATTATTACCAACATTATTCACAAAATACCATATGGAAACTTTTAAGATATGAAGTTGCTTTATTCTATCCCTCCCTTCCTGTCATTCCAACTGACATTACCTTAATCCATGTCCTTACTATCACATACCTAGGTTACTTGCAGTAGCAAGTAACAAGTACCTGGAATGTTCTTTGAGCTTTTAGTCTTTGATCCAGTAGTTCTTAAACAGGGTTGTGCAAAACAGAATGACAGGAGGGTCTTTTGAAAAACAAAGACTAGACTCCCCTAGTCTGGTATTCAACAGTTTTCAGACAGGCTCCAGGTTTGGATTTGTTGGTGTGGTTTAATTTTCAAAGATTAAGTTACAAACATCCAGCTAAGAACCACTGCTTGAACCTGTGGCAAGATCACCCCTGCAAAGCATGACTTTTTCAATGTCACTTTTAATTACAAGAATGTTCTCTTTTTCCTAATATGTTTTAAAAAAAAAAAAAAAAAGACTGCAAATTGATTTTTAAAAATCAAATCTATAAATTCACAAGTTTATGATACTTTTTTAAAAAACTTCATTAATAGATGATTGGTTATAGAGGGAAAAAAAATCATTATTCCCAAAACAGCAAATAAAACAGAATTAAGTATACATCTAGTCTGTATAGCCTGTATAAAATATTCTAGTATAACCAAATAGTCAATGAGGGTAATATTTTTTTTTTTTTTTTTTTTTTTTTTGAGACAGAGTCTTCCTCTGTCACCCAGGCTGGAGTGCAGTGGCGTGATCTTGGCTCAATGCAATCTCCACCTCCTGGGTTCAAGTGATTTTCCTGCCTCAGCTTCCCAAGTAGCTGGGGAACAGGCGCCCACCACCATACCCAGCTAATTTCTGTACTTTTAGTAGAGATGGGGTTTCACCACGTTGGCCAGGCTGGTCTCAAACTCCTGACCTCAGGTGATCTGCCCACCTCTGCTCCTCAAAGGGCTAGGATTACAGGTGTGAACCACTGCACCGGGTTGAGGGTTAAATCCTTCACGAAAAATTCTAGCTAATAAATGTAGAAGAAATGAAAGAATTAAAATGTTACCTTTTCCCAAACCCCCCTTTTTTTTTTTGAGACAGAGTTTCGCTTGTCACCCAGGTTGGAGTGCAGTGGCACGATCTCGGCCCACTGAAGCCTCAATCTCCAACGTTCAAGCAATTCTCCTGCCTCAGCCTCTCAAGTAGCTGGGATTACAGGCGCACGACACCACGCCTGGCTAATTTTTGTGTTTTTAGTAGAGATGGCGTTTCACCATGTTGGCCAGGGTCGTCTCGAACGAAAGAAATACACAGCTTAGTAAGTATTCTTGCCCCACTCCCCTTAAAATAAAAATGTTTTTAAAAGCTAAGCACTGAATAAAACCAAGCTTTAGATCTGACTACCAGTTTAGAAGACATAAAGGAAGGAAAGAAGCAACTCAGATGACACATCAAAGACATCAAAGAGGTAATAAGGCAAATGTAGAATATGAAACAATCTACAAAACAAATTAGCCAGTTTCTTCAAATAGCATAATTGGGGAGAGAGTGTTATAAAAAAGACTTGCGTTATTTATCAACCAAGTACGATGAGTTTTCAATCAAGAAAATGTGTAAAATACTTTTTTTTTTTTTTTTTTTTTTTTTTTCAAAGACAGGTTCTCATTCTGGTTACCCAGGCTGAGGAGCACACTGGCACGATCTCAGCTTACTGCAACCCAACCTTCTGGGTTCAGGTGATTCTCCCACCTCTGCC